TAGCTAGCAGAATTATAGATGGCTTATTCGAGCCTTTATTGTTTAGATTGCAAATTTTTGCAATCTGGACACTGTAGCACGTTTCGTTTGTATTTAACAAATTTTGTCCGATCATGGACTAACTAGGCTCAAAAGATTCGTCTCGTGATTTACAACCAAACTGTGTAATTAGTTATTTTTTTATCTACATTTAATGCTTCATGCATGCGTCCAAAAATTGATGTGATGGAGAGAAAGTGAAAAAACTTAGAATTTTGAGACCATCTAAACAAGGCCCTAGTCCTTGAATTTTCAGGAACAATCAATTCATTCTCCAACAGCTGTTTTGTTTTGAAAAGCGACGAAAGAGTTCAGAGTGGCTTGCTGTGCTGTGCTGTTCTATGCCATGCCAATAATTCTGAGCATAAGAAATATCCATAATGGGTGGGACCTAAGAACAAGAAGCAATTCTCGGATGCCAGTTCCCAGTCCCCTCTGTCTGATGGGCTGTGGCCACTCAGACCAGACCTGCTCTGCTCTTTTTCCTCCACAAGCAACATGGAGTAGCCTGTCACTGCCTCCCAACTCTCTGACGGTGACCTCTCGTTTAGGCACTAGTTAATTAACCACACCACACTTAGGCTAAGATAATCAGAGGATCCCAACAAACTCTAACCTAATGCTCTCCCATCCGAAGTGATCCGAGAGCTAGCTGGTGCACAGGTGCAGGACATGCTGTCTCTGTGATCCCCCAATCACTGTTGTCTGCCCTCCTTCACCCTGTTCGCTTAGATCGTATCAGGCATCGTATCAGCCATGCTTATCAGTATATGATAGTGTTTTTCTCTCATAATAAAATAGCATCAGACGGCTTATAAACCACAAAATCGATCAAGCGAAAAGTGTGCTTTTTTTGGGGTGGTGGTGGGAGATTACTGTTATGTGCTTCTGAAACAAGCAATCCACTGCCGTGAGCAAAAAGAAAAAGATACTACTACGAGGGAAGAAAGAAAGGTGTGGTGTGGGGTGCCCGTTTTCAGGTCATGACTTTTGTTATCCACTGAAGGTATGCTTGGGCCATGTTTAGTTTCATCTAAAATTCAAACTTTGACACTATGCAAAAAGAAGATTTCCATTACATCAAACTTGCGGTATATGCATGGAGTACTAAATGTTGATGAAATCAAAAACTAATTGCACAGTTTGGTTGTACTTTGCGATACGAATGTTTTGAGCCTAATTAGTCAACGATTAAACAATTATTACTAAATAAAAACAAAACGCTATAGTGTAGCTACGGTGAATCGGCGTGGCCCCAACTCCGCCGAACTAAACATGACCTAGGTGTGCGCTTTCCTTTGCTTTCTTGTGCTAAAGAAGTGTTACACAATCCCACAGGATCATAACCATTTATTTATCTGGTGATTTCCTGCATTAGCTGACCTAAACTAGGCGTTCAGACTCTAAGCCTTTGTTTAGTTCCTTCCCAAAACTTTACGCCCTATCACATCGAATGTTTGACACATTCACGGAGTATTAAATGTAGACTTAAAAAATAACTAATTGCATATATTACGACTTCTCTGCGAGACTAATTTTTTAAGCCTAATTAGTCCATGATTTGATAATAAGGTGCTACAGTACACATGTGCTAATGATGGATTAATTAGGCTTAATAAATTCGTCTCGCGGTTTACTGACGGATTCTATAATTTTTTTTTATTAGTATCCGAACACCCCATGTGACAACCCCTATGTAATATTCGATGTGACACCCTAAAATTTTATACCCTAAATCTAAACACCACCTAAACCAACTTGAACAACCTGACAAGCAGCTTGTTCGCTTGTTGGTTTCAGCCAGGACTTATCAGCCAGTCAACAGTATTTTCCTCTCACAATAAAACAACATCAATCGGGGTTATCAACCTAGAAACCAACCAGCAAACAGGCCGAACATTTTTTTTTGCAAGTATTCACAGTCTGACCCTGCCAGCCACTCTGCCCCAGCATTGCTGACTGTTGCTGATCATAAAATATCCATTTTTTAGCAGTGCTAATGCCAGGCTAGCAGAAGGGTCAAGATGAGCAGATGTTGACCATCCTTGCTATCCAGGATCAGGCACCATTAGCCATTAAGGACCGAAATAATCATGGCTCCTTTTGGCGTCTGCAGCCTACAGTGCAGGGTCATTTGGGCTTGTTTGGCTCATAAATCATGACTAAAAGTATAATTAGCTGATTTAGTGTGAGAGAAAAATATTGTTTGTTAAAAAAAAATACGACTTGATAAGCCAAATAAACCTAAACGAACATAGTTATCCAGCTGCTCTGGTCATTATTTTCCTCCAGAGTCCAGACTCCAGGTCTTTAGGCTGAGCATCATTGCTGCATCGCCGACCGCCGAGAAAGCAGCTTCGTGCTTGGACGCATGCTCTCTGTGATTCCAAGGATCATTCACAAAGGAATATTTAGTATTTCATTCATACGCCTGGTTTACTGCCAGGACCAGACGCTTTGACGGCTGTTAGCGAGGAGATTAGGAGGATACTCCTAATAATAAACTCATCTTCCAGGAGCATGATGCTTAGTTTATTTACCGTGGTAATCAGAGCTCTGAGAGGAGAGACCGGTAGTGCAACTGTGCAAGTACAGCAACGGGCGTGGGAGGATAATGTTTACGGCTTCCAGGGTTGAGAGAGGGGGAGGGTACCACTGCACGTGGCGGCAACGTGCGTCGACGGGGCGAGCAGGCGGCCGGCGACGTGTCCATGTGCGAAAGGCTGGCACGTGCCTGGTGGTGTCGCGGGCCCACTCGCAGCGCGGACAGCAGCACCTCTTGCCCACGTGGCCACCTCATCTCACGGGTAAGTACGGGTATATTTCAGAGACCTGTAAACTTGTAACGATACGTTTTCAATATCACAAATAGTAATTATATTTCTCTAAACTCGTAGAATTATAATGGCACCATTCAAATTAAGCCTAAACTTTATGATGAGAAACTAGATAAGACCTAAGACAAACTAACTTTATTTATCTTTTTCTACTTTCTCTTCCTAAGGTGCAATGATTATATCTTTATAGAGATATATACGTAATTTTCAACGAACCTTTCTCCTCGTCTAAACTTTAGAAGTACACTTATTTTTTGACGGAGAGAGTACACACCACCCTATACCACCACCCCGTAGTGACCCGTAGTGATGTGCTGCTACTGCTAGTATCTCCTCTTCCTCTACCGAACGTATTCACCGGAAAATGATACAAATTTCAGCTTTGCTAGACGTGTAAATTTACCGTGAAGTTCACAATTAAACTGAAGGTTGAAGGTATCTTGAGTGAAGCAGGACAGCGCCGTCAAAAAAGACACAGATAGGGCTGCCTGCGTGCCTCTGACGAAAGCTTTATCGCCACGAGCCCGCGATCCAACTACCAGGAAGAAAAGAGGCACAGACCGTGGCAGCGTTCAGCGACTGCCGCGCGTGCTCCGCATCGGCGCATGGCCCCGCTCCCGTAGTCCCGTTCCCGCAAGGCCGCAACGCGGCAGGCAGGCAGGCAGCTCGTGAGCGGGAGAGCCCGGGGCCGGCCAGCAACGGCAATGTTGGTGCGGGCGCTGGCGCGCTCCGAGGGCGGTGCGCGTTTCCTCGCTTTTTCGGGCGTTTTCCCCGGTCGGATAGGCGGCAGGTCACGTGAACTCGCCCACCAGCCTCAGGGGCGGGACGGGACCGACCAGCCCAGTAGCCCACCACCCCCGCCGGCCGCCCGGCGCCCGCCATGCGCCGCATGCGTTCCGCGGGCGCGGGGGCACCACCCCGGCACCCCGGGCGGTCGGGCGGCGTCTCCTCCCGAGGCCCGCAGTCCGCAGCCCCAAGCCCCGCAACGCTTTCTCGTGCTCGCCCCACGTCTCCTCGTGTCGTGCCTGTCCCGTGCCTGTCCTGCCGGTAGCATGCGTTTTGCTCGTGACAAAGCACAGGAACCATTTATTAAGCAGCGAACGAGCACCGGTGGTCCGGTACTCCGGTGCGGTGCGTGACGAGCATGGACTCGGACTCGGAGCCAGCAAACAGTGTGCGGTGCGTCACCATGCAAGCTACGGCAAGTACATGCATGTCGCTATGCTACGCTAGTGTCCCTAGTGATAGGCGTGGCGTTAATGCTTGCTGCCATTCGCATCTTTAAAGACGATCTACCCTACCGTAAGCCGTAACCTTCCAATCACAACAAAGCACAGACCAAATTCGCAGCGGCAGGACGCTACCGTGCCGTGCCGTGAACACACAGAGGCTTCGGTGTTTCTGTAGTCATCTCGAGGGCCTGCCTTCGGCTGCCTGATCTGTTTGGATAAGGACACTACATGTTGTTTTCTGCGGTTTTCGGAAGGGCCGTTTCGCTAAAACACTTGGTTAATGGAAAAAATTTCTCGGTACCTTCTTCTTGCATAATTCATCAGGGTAAAGTATCTTAACATACCTTTTTAGTTAAGTTTAACCTCTTTTTTTTGTTTAGGTAAAGTTGGCTAAAAAAAACACATGGATTTGACGGGGAACGTATATATTTTACTTCTATATAAACATTTCAAACCAAATACTTACTGCTAATAAAACTACTAGGTTAATTAATTTAGGGAAACTGAAGATTTATTAAAGAAATCACAGGGGAAAATTTTATAAGAAAAAGGAAAGCACATTGATTTTTTTAAGTGTAGTCTAGTCTAGATAAAGAAACGCACAGGGAAGGAGCGGAAAGAGCAGCGGAGGGCCCGATGAGGGAGGCCTCCATCCATCCAAAAATATAAAAACGCCGTGCAGAGGTGCACAGGCACCAGCCGCAAGCGAACAAGCCAAGCCGCCGCAGCTGCAGGCAAACGCGCAGAGCAGAAGGGGCAGAGGCAGAGCGGCCATCCACTGCCGTCCTGTTCCGCCCCAGACTCCAGAAACGCACGCGCGCGCCCCGCGGAGCAGAGCACTTGACTGACTGAGTGACAGGCGGCGACCGGTCGGTCGTGATCCGCCCGCTCCATGGCGCGGTCCAAGAACGGCTGCCTCAACATCCTCGTCTGCGCCGGCTCCGGATCCGATCCCGCCGCCGGCTCCGACGCCGACGCCGAAGACCATCCCGACGAGGTCAGCCGTGCTGCGTGCCCGCCTCCCTTGCGCCGCGGAATGCGGCGTCTCCTGCTCTATCGCTTTCTTACTGCGCGGCGTCTTGTACGGCGCCGAAAGTTGCTTCCTTTTTCGGTCTGCCGTGCTTGTTTCGTTAGATCTCTGCCTAATGCGTGGGGTTCAGGGGCAGGGTGTGTGTGATCCTTGTTAGATCTGGGTTTAATTCGAAGCGGGGAGCTGGAATCAAGTTGCGAATTGAGAGATTCTCTCACTGGTTCAGCTCGTTAACTTCGTCGGCTTTGAGTTTTTTACTTTCGAATTTTTTTGCGATGTTGACAGTGGACAATTGTTCATCATTTCGTGAGCATGATGTTGCCTGGCTGCATGGACACGGCTCTTCACCTGAAAATTTCGTTCTTTCTTGATGAAACTAAAGAACAACAACAACAACAAAACAAACTTTCTTTTATTCTGTTGCTGCATGTCCAAAGCTGCAGTCAGTGCCATATCTTGTATGGCTTAGGGTGCTGTTTTGTGTCGTCTTGATCCCATGCAGCACAGCAAGGAGGGATCTGATTCTGCTTTCTTTGTATGCTCCATGTAGTGCTCTCACTGCTATGCAATTGCTTTCACTGTGTCAACCTCGGCCTGTTGCGTCTGTCTTTCTCCTCTTCAGGCTTGGTTGTTTCCAGCCTTGTCCCTTCCTGATTTGACAATTTTGTTTTAAATGATGGGCTCCTGGTGACTATATCCGCTACTAAGGCTAGAAGATAGGGAGGCGTTACCTGACTCTGGAGCAAATATTCTTGCACAGATAACAAAAGTATTGAGTAAAATTACCATTTGGGTTGGTGGATTCTTGTATGCACAACATGAAATTCAGCATGTGGTAGAACAGGTTATTGATTTTTGACAGGTCAGCTTGCATATCTGTACCTCTTGAATTAGGGGAGCTTAGCTCATTTAAATTGACAAAAGTACGCAAAGTTTATTACACTTTAATGGAACATCAGTGTTAATAATAAATCAGAGATATTTTGCTTGCGATCTATAGTCTTCCCCGACTATCAGTACATGCAAACTTTTAAGTGGTGCACTTTGTCACGAAGTATTGCCTAAATTAGTTCAATGTAGTTTCCTCACAAAGTAATGCACCATTTTCTATGAAATGGATTAGTGCATAGACCTCACAAAGTATTGCCTAAATAGTAATACCTTCCACTTTTGCAATCAGTTCTCAAGTTTTCTTTTTGTATGTGTGGAAAGTAACAGAAGTTCTTTCAATTTCTGTTCCTCATATCAATTACTGAACTTCACGCTGATGTGCATGTTCGCTCTTTTCAGAACAAGGCCATATCAGATAAAAGCAGATGGAGCTTTCGTAGGAGGTCTACAAGGCATCGAGTTTTGAAGAACTCTGATATCTCAGAACCTGAAACTCTTAGTTCCAGCAAAGCAAAGGCTGACATTACACCGAGCAACAATGTTTATACTTCAACATATTCTTATGCCTCGGAGAAGCCTCTGCAACAAGACAAGCCAGATGAGAAGATTCTGCATCAAGAGAAGCCAGAGGGGAAGCCTCTGCATCAAGAGAACTCTGATGAAAAGCTGATGGAGAAGCCAATTGAAAAGCCTATTGACAAACTTATGGAAGAACCAGCTGACCAGATAATTGAAAAATCAATTGAACTACCTACTCAAAAGATAACTGAAACACCAACTGATGAGCCAGCCGAAAAAATAAATGATGCACCAACTGAAGAACCAGCTGAAAAAATAACAGAGACAGCATCTGAAAATACAGCTGAAGGGACAATAGAAAATGCAACAGAAGAGACACCCGAAAGGGCAGTTGAGGAACTAATTGAGGAGCCAGACGATAGTATTTCTGTCTCGTCAACTGGGGTGAAGGAGGAAAACACCCCACTTGTGGAAGGAAGCTGTTCTGACCCTGAGGAAGATCATTTGGAGTCTGCAGCTACTAATCTTCAGCCTGGCAGTGGCACTTGCATTGTAAGTTGCAATTAGCTCTTTTAGCATTATGCTTAGCTGTTCCTCATCCAATGTTATTAATTATTTATATATTATCAACGTAAAAAAATAAGACATTATCCATTTGCATGACTACAGGCAAGGGAAGAGCTACTGAATCAGAAGGATCTGGTGAAACTACAGGCTGTTATACGTGGACATCTAGTTAGAAAGCAGGCTTCAGAATCTTTACAATGCTTGCTTGCGATTATTAAAATTCAAGGGTTAATCAGGGCTCATCAAGCACAACATTCACCAGGAAAGATTCAGGTGAATGATGGCTTTCTGTTTAAGGCATTATCATTTATGATTTTTTTTTTTTGCATCGGCTACATTGGAATTGGATTATGAATGTATATCATGCGACCAGTGTTAGTGAACAGAATGACATTTTACCTGGCCCAACCATATCATGTGCCATTTATTGATACGGATTATATCTTTGTGATGAGGTTGTTTTGACGAGTCAGCTGAGTGTAGGCTTAGCAACATTAGTAAGATCTAAGATGTTTATGTGCAGTTTTTCCTAGTTTTAGCTAGCATCCTGGAAGCTGTTAATCTATTGCAAGTCTTCGGACTTTTTGTTTCCATTCAACTTGCTACATCTGTTGGTTATCTGCTATCTTTTTGGCTGTTGCGAAATTCAATCCCATTGCATAAGCGATCATCTTCTGCATCAAACATGTAAAAGGGTCGACATGGTTTGTGTTAGATTGATGACTGTAGCCCCCCTAAACATTCTTGAGAGCTGCAACCAAGTTCTGCTCCTTAGTTCTGTGAATTCACATGTTGTTTTCCCCAATGCAGGAGACTATTGTTCATTCTTCAGGTGAGAAATTGCTTCGCAATGGATTTGCTCTCAAGGTAAGACATGGGAATCCACATTCTAAAAGTCTAAAATATCAATCTTTTTTCTATAGTTTGGATTTCCTCATATTCACATTGCATATCTTCTGTCAGCTCGTGGACAACACGTCGACTTCAAAATCCATTCGCATAAAATGTGATCCTTCAGAATCTGATGTTACATGGGAATGGATGGAGAGGTGGACAGCCTTAATTCCTCCAATCACTGTGGAGCACCTGCCAGAGCATGAAGAAAATAGTGAGTTGATGGGTGAAACTGTGACCGAACAAGTGACTGAACATTCTCAGTGTGATGAAGACATTGTTCAGTTGGACTCAGACCTATCTTTCCCCAAGTTGGTGGCTGATGATGTGAAAGAAACAGTAGAGACTTCTGATTCTAGTGCCTTGGAGGCTCCTGCAAGTGTCCCAGATGAAAGCCCTAAGATGGAAATGAAACATGATCCTGAATCAGAGTTGATCGAAACTACTAATGTAGATGCTGAGCAAGTAACTGACCAAAAGGCTGAAAATGATGTGGACGAGCCTTTTATGTCCTTGGATCAACAATATACCCAAGCTGATGCATCAAGGGATCCCTGTCCACTTCCTGGAAAATTTGAATCATCCAATGAGGACAGCGGCGATTCATACAATTCTGAGCAGACACAGGAGATGGAAGGTAAAAGGTTTGTGGCGAGAAAGTCATGCAATCCAGCGTTTGCTGCTGCACAATTGAAATTTGAAGAGCTGAGTACCAATTCGACAGTCAGCAGGTCCAACAGCTCATCACATCTGGATGGGGTGAGCAAGTCAAGGGTGCACACTCCTAGTTCACAAGAAGATTACTCGTCAAAGCAAGATGGCACAGGCATACAAGAAAGCTCAGTTGGTCATGATACTAAAATGATAGTTGCTGCATCAGAATGTGGGACTGAAATATCAATTTCATCCACACTGGACTCACCAGATAGATCAGAAGGTGATGGTGGGGAGATCGTGATGGAGATTGGAGCTCTGGAAAATAGAAAATATGTCACTGACAAAGATGATAAAGACTCCAATATTGTCCATTCTGAGGTAAAAAATGCTCCTGAAGTAGAAGCCCAGCCGCAGAAGGAAGTAGAACAGAATGGCCATGTTCCTGTCCATGTTGAACCAGAAATGTCAGATTTGCATGAACGATTGGAAAAATCTGTCGCATCTTATGCCACACCTGAAGGAACTCCAATGAGCCGAACAACCATTCCGGAATCTCATGGAACACCATCAAGTGAGGTCTCTGTTAATACCAAAAAGAGCAGGAGCAAAAAGCCCAAGTCCCATGCAAGCAAGAGGTCGCTAGCTAGTCCAGGCAGTGAGTCAGTTGGACGGAGCAGCACCGACAACTTCTCAAAGGAATCAAGGCATGCCAAGAGAGAGAACTCGAGCAAGGCTGCTAAATCCGACCACGTCGACCAAGAACCTCGTATGAGCAACAGCAACAGCAACCCGTTGCCGAGCTACATGCAATTTACAGAATCTGCAAGAGCCAAGGCATCGTCCCCGAAGATGAGCCCAGATGTGCAGGACAGCAACCCAAGGAAAAGGCATTCATTGCCCATGACCAAGCACGACTCGCCACCTCGCATGCAGCGATCGTCATCGCAGGCTCAGCAAAACGTGAAAAGCAATGGCCCTGCTCCTCACAACGCATCTGGTGAGTGCCTTATTCTCTTATACGCTATTATGATTATGCATTATCCAGTTGTGTTTCAAAGTTCTTTTTTTTGTCAAGACGTTCCGTAATTACCTTGTGTATGCTCTTTGACTTCTCCTCACGGACCTTCTTACGCGCAGACAAGAGGTGGCATATCTGATGGGTAGGCCGAGCACAGCAGCATATTTCGCGTGGGGGTGCCATCGAATATCTAGATGGATTTCGCGTGATGACTTGCCTTCTCCGCACACTCCATCTAATTCGTCAGATTTTTATTTTCTTGATTCGTCGTTGGAATACTGAGTATGGTTGGAAGAAGGGCAGCAGCTGCCGCTTGATATGTGTACATTTGTTGGTTCTTATTGGTTGTGTTATGTGACTGATAGTGGTTTCTGTGTGTAATATAATATGCCCCTTTGACTTGTAATGCAACAGTGGCATCAAGAGTGTGTGGATTGGACTGTTATATTTGGCGATATTGAAGTTTCTATTGGTGTGGATACGGCTCTCATTCCATTTCTTTCTGTATCAGCAGCCATGAATCAACTGTTTTTTTTCTGTTCGGATCACCCTGTTTCGCATTGTTTGCTTCATCGCACGTGATGTGAGTTAGGGTGTTGTTTGCTGCTTTCAAAATTCACGTAACTCCAAAAAAAAAGGCGTATAGTAACGAGTTAAATCCTCTCTCAAGAGTAAAGAAATTTGTCACAAATGTTTAACTGTTGGTACATGCATCTAGGTGTATGGACTGGGATATTCGTTATTTCATCATCTGAAAAAGGATGTTATAATACGCTGAAATTATGGACGGAAGGCTAAAGAGATGGACAAAATTCTAAAAAAAAAAAAGGGAGACGTGCGCGTCGGCCAAGGCGTGTTTGAATTGTGATTCTATTTCATCAGATTCAAAGTAATTGCTCGCCGCGCCTGCCGCACGGTGATTGGTCCTTAAGGTGATTGGATTATCAGCCGGTGCTCTCAGCGTTCCGCGGACGATGTGGCACTATATATGCAAACGGAACGGCTTTAGTTCACGGCTGGGCCTGGCCCAATCGAGGCTGTTCGGGCCATGGGCTTGTGGCACCGTGCCTTACTATCGTGATTTCGCCGCAAGGGCTGCTGCTCGACAGCGGCGTGGAGGACGCGACTCGCGGCCACGCTGAACTCATCGCCGGCCGCAGCGGCCTCGAGAAACATGATGCAGCGAGCGGTAGAACTCGCTGGGAGTCTTCTTCTCGTGGATGGTGAGCGTAACGTTGGTTCCTCCTCCCGTTCTCCCGCCGGTGATAACAAAAAACTGAAGGCCCCGACTCAAAAAAGTTAAAAACGATCGACCTACGACGTGAGCTCACTAGGGAAGAGCGTTAGTTACGGCCGGCGAGGCCCCGTGTCGATGCCCATGATCGATGTGACGAGCCGGGCATCTCGTCACCAGCAGAACCCAGAACGTGTACGCGATTAGGTGTGCCGCCGGCCGGCCGGCGCTGCAAGGCACGAGGCAGCATGCATGCTGTATGCGGTACATACGCCGAACCAGCAACAAACGAGGGGACGCTAGTTTGCGAGTCCAGGTGGCATGCATTCTGAGACGATGGCGTAAGTGGTGGGGTGCCGGCGGGTGGCGTACTATTTCAGTATATGGGCTTTGTATATATTTGATTTGAAGCTCAGGTGAGTGTCCCATACTCCCATCAAATCAAAATCTTAATACTAAGTACTTATGCAAATTCTTTTCGTGGCTAACGTGGTATGGTTGTCAAGGTCTCGTTTAGTAGAGCAATGGACATCTCTGCTGACTCTGACTTCTCTGTGCATTGTAGCAAGGAGCTATAACCACTTAGAGCAATGCCAAACAGAGTCTAAGTATGTGTGTCTCGATTTACAAATAGAACAACACTAATGTGACCCATTAGGTTCGATCCATAACCTTTTCACTATGGCAGTACCATGTGGGCCCATGTCATTATAGTCACTATAGTTCCCTAGTATTTTGGACAAAATTACTCTATAGTCACTAACACGTGGCACTTAAATTTTAGCTTTATCTTTCCTAAATCTGTATAAAACTAGGTATCCATATTGTACCAGAACCTATCAATTTATAAGAGCACAAGTACAATGACAACCCACAAGCGGTCGCACTGTCATACTTGAGCCCATATAAACTCGGTAGTCCGTCGAGTACCGCGAAGGGTCTCGATTCAACCAGCATACAACCAAGATCGTACATGATTCAACATGTCACACGTTACATAAAGTTCACAAATACAATTCATCCATCAGAGTACGAATTAAAGTTATTACAAACCACGTTCAGGTAAGATAGTAGCGAAAGCAAATTAAAAGTTTGAAACCAACATATGCAACATTGTTTAAATATAGTGCCAGCTTCACACTTTCACAAAAGCATAAGAGAGGGATTAATAAGAGATGCCTGCTCAGGGCTTACTCCTCGTCCACGGCGGGACAGAAGCAGTTCTTGCAATAGCCATGATAAACTGTACCATCTGCAACAATGGTAATAAAACCCTGAGTATGAGAAGGTACTCAGCTAGACTTACCCGTCATAAACCAAAAATAAAGTGACTCCAAGAATTATGCAAGGCTTTATAAGTGGAGCTAGCTTGACAACATTTTGCATAAAAAGTCACTAATTCAGCTATACATTTTATAATTCGGTCATCAAGTTAATTATAGCTATTCATCTCTAGATTAGCAACTAATCTATGCCAAACATGTGGTATATCATTTAGTAGCATAACAATAATAACCATAGCCGCTATAATAATTTCATGTTCATCATAACAATCATTCCATAATATAATTACTACGATGTTGGTACTAGCCAAGTTTCTCACTGTCCGGGAGAAACGACAATTCGAATCGATTTCAACCAGCTGAGAATTTATTCCTAACATAAACCTAAGCAGACCAGATCAACGGTCACTTTAGGTCATCTTTGGTACAACTCAGGTCCACATTTAGTGGGTTCGATCAACGCTTAACAATTAGGGACGACCAGCTGACAGGACGTTCAGGCCCGACCTTCCCTTGGGCTCATGTCTGGCTCCCCGCACATCCTTACTACCATCCAGAGTGCGCACTCTTACAGAACGGGGTCCGGCTTGAGTTGAGCTACTCGGCTTCACGGTCGGAACGAGTTATCCGGCCAGCTAAGTAAGAGGCATGCGCTCAATCTTGTCAGAAGCGCCCAACAATGATACGGTCCTTAATCGGCACAGACGGATTCATATGAGTCAACCTACACATAGACTCCGTCCGGCCTCCATTTATATTACCCCATGGTTCTTTTCTATGATAGCAAATATAGTCAACCGTGTTTCGGTATCCACCTATATCTCGCAGGTGATAGGAAATCACCCGACTTTACCGGTCTAAGCATGGCTAAGCATGTATTCAATCCTGAACCTACACAGGGTTAAAGGTGTATATATCTGGACAAGGTAGTTCTATGCATCAAGTGGTTTCAATTCAACTCTTATCACCTAATGCATCAAACACAAAAGGACTCAAATGAAGTTTTGTAAAACATAGGAGACTTAGAATGTTCCGGGGCTTGCCTTTGAGAAAAGAGGTTGGTCTGTGATCCGGGCACTCAGGGAGGTCCTCAAGAGTTTGCTCCTCTCCTTCTGGAGCTACGGCCTGAGGTGCTTCATGTTGTTCCTCCGACTCTTCTTCAAGCTCCAACAGAGTTATCCCTTCGGACGATCCTATATGCATGAGCATGAAATAAGATATCATTGATGCACATATAATAACATGTATGATATGATATGGTGTGATGAAATGCATACTCATAAGTGTTATCAACATTATTTCATTAAGGTGATAACAAGACAAATTTTTTACTGAGTAGGTGCATATCTCTTCTCTATTAATTAAACAAATTCTCACATAAGCAATTTTCTGAACTGCAAGACAGCAGCCACTTGTTTTAACCATAACTAGAGTTATACACATCTAAATAATATGGTTGTGGACTTTCTAGAAAGCTTATGAAATTGCCTACAACTTGTTTTTAATCATCTTAATACGATTCAGCAGTTATCTAGGTCAAACAATTCAGTCTTTTAGATCTGTCTAGAGAGCAAGTATTTCTCATAGCAGACTTCTAACAGCTATAATTCTCAAACCATATGGCCTATGACTATGAAAATTTAACACAAGGTATATAAGTAAGTTATCTACAACTTAGTTATCAACCATCTTTATAGAAAAGATCATTATCATCATGAAATCATCACCACAACAGAAACTATACATGCAACCATCTAGTTGAATTATAAGACAATAATTAACTAGTTGTATACAACCAATTACTTCTAAGCCTAACTAATAACATCAATAAATCATATGCATCACAAGCACCACAGAAAACCTCATGGTTATGCCTAACTAATTTATTTATATTCATTTATTAATTTCCTTATATAATAAGGTGATTTAAAGGATAAATATTTTTAGAGCTTAGTAAATTCTGAGAAAATTAAAGTAGCCTACAAATGACTCTAATAGTCTACTGTACAAATTTCATGCCATTTGGATAAGTATAGCCACCTCTACAAAAATGACAAGTTACATATGCTTATTTTAGCAAAAATAGTTTAGCATAGTAAAAAGTGTCGAACAATAGATTTAATATTTTTTACTTTTCTCCTAGCACGAGAATACTGTGTAAAAATTTGTATGATCATATGCTCCTTACTTTTCTCATCATCACCAGGCAAGTAATCCTTGTCACTAGGATCATCCATATGACCATATCTGAACTGTGTTCCTTCTGTACAGGAGCCTTTTCATAAACAGACACTTCTTCTTGCATAACCAACTTCTGTACAGGAGCCTCTTTATCTCTAACCCAATGCAAATACTTAGTAACACCTATTAAGTCTTTCTTCACTTGTTCTAGTGAATACATGTTCATTATAGCCAAATCCTCAACCACCACATTGTCTTCACGAGGTGTTTCCATCCCAGTGCTTTCACTGTCTGCTCTTTCACTCTCCATTTTAGCATCTTCCTCCCAGTCACTACACGGGTCCTCCCCATCCTCTTCCTCCTCAATCTCTATGTCATCAGCTTTCACTTCAATAAGCTCAACAAATACATCTACAACTCCTCCATCAGTAACACATTCAG